TTTGTTTGAAGGTTCGAACCCTGTCGACTTCTATTTATCCGTATAGAATGATCGGGTTCGAACACGAATTCACTTATTGACCACCGCAGCATCCCTAGACGTCACGTGTGTACCAATAACACACTCGACGGGGCCCATGCGGGTGTTTGGGTGGATTTTTATATTTATATCCTGTCGACTCCCTTTTACTTGCTTAGGAGGATCGGGTTCAAATTTAATAACCTGTGCAGCATCCCTAGACGTCATGTGTGTACCAATAACACGCTCACCAGGGCCCATGCGAATGTAAGATTACATTTACCCCTTGTGTACCTATGTGTATACAAATTACGGTGCATGTGCGGGGGTATTTCAGACATTCAACTGATCTTTCATGATGGCTCATAGAATTCCATCTCGGTCGTAGTCTTTTCAGTATTTGCTTATGGACAACATATGGGGTATACGACAGGTCTCCCACAGTGACTCGTAGGAGCTTGCATTTGTTGGGATATTTTGGCATTCTTCTTGTAGGTGACATCTGGTGTATATGATAAGTCTTCCATAGCGGTCCATAGGATCTTGCATTTGGTGCAGTCATTTTGTATTTTGTTTGTATACAGTATATTGGGTGTAGAACAAATCTCCTACAATAGTTCATAGGAGCTAGCATTCACCGCATTCTTTGTGCATTTCGTTGTGATTTTTGCCCTCACAATGCATCCAGTACTATTTTATGTAGATGTATTCATTCGCATTTTGGAATTGACTTTAGGACACTGTATTCACTGAAGTCTGTCAACATCTACCTACAGGTGGAATGTGGCGCGTACATTTGTGTTTGTAGAGAAATTATATGTATTGCAGATTCTTATATTTGCTTCGTAGGTGATACTTAGTGTTTATGACGGTCTCCTACAATGGCCCGTAAGAGCTGGTGTACATCATATATCCTTCACCTTTGAGTCCTATGCAATAATCAGTGTAAGCTTCGGAGATCACTGATTCATCTAGAACTCGTAAGCCTCGATAATCTTATTCAACTTGGCATTCAGAACTCAAATCATTATGTTCATGTTCTTTATGACTGTATTGTTCATGAATGAGATGTTGGGGCTTATATACACCATGAGTTCCTTGTTTGCTTGCAAGCCGGCATCTGTATATATATATATATATATATTGAAGATCTTCAATGTTCAGGTATTGTAATTATCTCAAAAAGAGATCAATTGTTGGAGCTCTCGTTATCATTCATGAATGAGGGGTGCTTGCAAGATTTCTATAGGTATTATCCTTAGGTTCTGCATATAACACATTGGGTGCTCTCGCCATTCGTTATGATTACATTCATTTTCTTGTGAGCATGGTTGAAATGTTCATTAGAAATCATTTGAGTTTGAGCTCTAGTTCAAGTTTAAGTAGAAGTTCAAGTCTCTCGAAGCCTTTGGAGATTCAAGCCTCTTGTGATGATCAGATTCAAGTTCACTTGTCTCCTATTGTTCATCTGATTTGAGTTCATGGCATTCAAATCATGGTTCACTTTGAGTGAAATGAAGCTCAAGTGCAAGTTTTAGTTCAAATCAGATCCTTTGCATTTATTCACTTGGGTTCAAGTTATGACATATTCCGTTTCATTTGCTTGAATGTGAGTCCAAGTGATCCAAGTTCTAGTTCTTCAAATCTTGTTCAGGTCCCTTATGATTTGACTCAAGTCTTTTGTAGTTTGCATGAATTCTTTGCATGCATTAAAAGTTGATGTTTGTTTGAAAGTTCTGAACCACCACTCAGAAATTTTACGTTTTAATTTCATAGTGTATTTATTGCATTGGAGATCGGTTCCCTTTAGTTCTGTTCAAGTCCAAGCTCAAATACATGTCCCCTGTTGTTCGAGTTCTTTGTCAGCTTTGGTCCACATTCAAGTTCACTTTTGTATGTTCATGTGACAAGACTAAGTCCTTGCTCAAATTTTTCAGGTCAAATCTCTATGTGTGTGTGTATGTGTGTGGACCGAAGAGATGAGGAGGTCGGGTAAGGGCCTTGCGGTTGTGGAGTGGAATACGACTAGAGAGTTGAGATCATGAGGCTTGATTGAATCTTACTTGGGGTCGGACGAAGCAAGGGAGGTCGTGGATGTGTCGTCGGCCACGGGAGGCTTGAGGACTAGAGGAGTTTGCGGCTTCCAGAAGAACGGACAAGGCAGAGGGTTCAGCTGGGAGAGGAATCGGGATCCAGGAGAGTTGAAGCTCTCATTTTGCCTCCTTTTAAAGACCACAGATGTGGACTATCGAGGCAAGTTGTCGCAGGATTCCCGCGAGGAGACGCGAACGGCGCCGTTTGAACAATGTTCTAGCAAGATTTGTAGCAATATTCGTGGATCCGTCAGGTATGATTTTGATTTTTTTTTTTTCCTTTGTGCATATTAGTGTAGGTCAACAGGGTTGTAAAAAATATATTCCTACATGGGGACTTGCAGGAAGAGATATTTATGGATATTTCACCAGAACTTAAGGAAAAATCTTAGGGGTGATAAGGTCTATAAGTTAGAAAAGACTCTGTATGGACTAAAGCAATAACCTAAAGCTTGGTTTGGAAGATTCTCAAAATTTATGTTTCTTAATGGTTATCATCAAAGTCAACGGGATCATACACTATTCTTTAAACACTCAAACTTAGGGGAAGTCACAATATTATTAGTTTATGTTCATGATATTATCTTGAATGAGAATGATGAAAAGGAGAAAGTTATTCAAAGGAAATGTCTTACCAAGAAATTTAATATCAAAGAACTTGATGGACTAAAATATTTTCTTGGATATGAGTAGAGCAAAGGAATTTTGATTTCACAAAAAATATATGAAATATCTTCTTAAAGAAATAGAGAAACTAGCTTGTAAACTGGCACCAACACCAGTAGAACTAAATCTCAAATTGGGGAAACCTGAGTAAGATCAAGATGTAGTTAAGAGAGCTTACCAAAGACTTGTGTAAAAATTGATCTGCATTTCTCACACCAAACCAAATATTGCATTTGTTGTAAGTATGGTCAGCTAGTTCATGCAAAATTCAAAACAAACTCACATGCAAGTTATAGACATAATACTGCACTACCTTAAAGGAGATGCAGGGAAAGGGATTCTCTTTAGAAGAGATCACAGAATAACCCTAAAAACATATATTGATGCATATTATGCAAGACTACCAGTAGATAGAAGATCTACCTATTTATAGCACACATTTCTTGGAGGAAACCTTATTACGTGGATAAGAAATAAACAAAATGAGGTGGAAAGGTCTAGTGTAGAAGCAGAATATAGAGCTATGACCTTAGGAATATGTGAGCTACTATGGCTCAAGATGAGCCTAAAAGACCAAAGGATCAAGTGGGAAGGCCCCATAAAGCTACATTGTGATAACAAATCAATAATCAGCATAGCTCACGATCCAGTTCAACATGACAAGAACAAGAATATGGAAGTGGACATACATTTTATAGAAGAGAAATTAGACAATGATCTTATATATATATATATATATATCTCATTCTCCATGAATATTCAATAGATTTCAGTAAAATTTTAAACATATATTAAGCACATGAACAGAAATCTTGGAGTGGTGTTTGGAAGTTTCGAAAAGCACTTATCATAAAGGTATATAGATCTAAGTGTTGTTACCTAGATCTAGAGTTTTTGAAGAATCTCACCTGAGATTTTGAAAATTTTGAAATCTCTGAGCTTGTATACTATCCTTGTAGAATTTCCTAGTTGAGATCGAGCCTTGAAATGCCTTGGATCATCGTGTAGGAAGCTTGGAAGCTATGGAGCCTCAGGTCGCCGGAAACTCGCCACCGCTGGCTTTGACTGATCGGGTTTGGCATGGGGGAGGTGGAGGAAGCCAAGGGAAACTCTCACACAAAGTTTAACGGCTTAAGGAAGTTAAGAGCAAGAGTAATCGTAAAATGATCCATCTAAAGAATCCTAAAACTCCTATATATAGTCTAATGCTTGTGATCAACGGCCAGGATCATGTCTAGGGAAATTTAGGAGGGAAAATAGAAGATTTAGCCATGGTTTGCATTAGGGGTCATTAGGAAGGTATTTCAATGCATCAAATGTGCATAATTTGACCTAAATAGGACAATTTGACCCATGAGAGACTTGGGTTGACCAAGTCAACCCTTGACTTTGTCAACCCAGTCAATTAAACCCAAAGGGGTGGGGGTTTGAGCCCAAGGATGTTTGAAATCGATTTGAAATTGAATTAGGAATTTGAAATTTGAGCGTAAGAAGCTATGGAATGGATTTGAAATGACATGAAAGGGTTTTGGGTTAATTTGGGTCAATTTGATCAACAAGGTTGGCCCAGAGCCTAGGTCTAGGCTCAACAGACTTTGCTTGACCCACTGAACACAAGGGAGGTGATCTTGGGACCTAGCTTGGTCAATATGACCAAGTCAACCCCTTTGACCAAAGTTTTGAGAAAAACAAGGTCAATAATACTCATCAACATTGCCATCCATTTCCTCTCTCTCTCTCTCTCTTTCTCTCTCTCTCTCTCTCATCAAAGAAGATATCGTCATGAAGCCTTGAGCCTTTGAAAATATCTTCAAATAATACCGTGTGTTGGAATCACATTCGGCCTTTAAAAAAAAACAATTCTATGATTGGCTTGTTTACTAATGTCTATAAATATCATGATATTATCTTGTATTGAATACTTATGTAATACAAGATAACTATGATAAATAGCATACTTATATTATGAAACATTTAAATTTTCATTTTTTTATCATTGTTCGCATATAATTAAATAATGTGAAATAAGTTAATAAAAAAATGGTTTTATGAATAGTACGCTTATCCAATGTAATCACATATCCAAAATCAGAAACAAAATGAGGGAAAGCTAGTTTACTCGTACTTCTTAGGCTCAACTCCAAATAATTTCCCTTCTATAAACATTTGAATCAGACTGATTTCCCTTTAAAAAATGGTGCTTATACTTGTTAATCCTCCACCAAGTAAAAACATGCCTTGAACACAGCTCTTTGAAAGTTATTTTCTTACATTGTATGTTCTACATATATATAGCAGTAGTAACAGAATAATAATAATGGCATACAGCAGTTGACATTTATTTACTGATAAAAGTTGCAACAATAAAGTGGTAAATTTGAACCAATCTTATGGGGCTTTAGAAAAGAAAAATCATTCTGAGATAATCTTCTGTTTCTTACATTAACTTCATAGTTTGCACAAAATCATCATAATTGACTTTCCCATCACCATCAAAATCGGCCTCCTTTATCATTTGCTCAGCCTCCTCATCTGTTAATTTCTCACCAAGACTTATCAACACGTTTTTCAGCTGAAAATAGAAAATAAAAAACTGAGTTTTAGCAATTGCATGCAATTAACAACCAGCAGGGTTGATTTATACAGGCAACATATCTTTGAATATAATTCAATAAAAAGTTTAACTACAGGTTGAATTTTTCCAGAGGTTATGTAATGCAGTGTGAAACTAACCTCAGTAGCTGATATGAACCCTTTTTGATCTCTGTCAAACACCTTAAAAACTTCCTTTAGTTCATCTTCTTTGTTTATCTCCTGCAACCAAGTAGTTGTATAAGCAAAAGGCAAAAGATTGTCATAATAGCATATTTAAAGTGTATTTTAACTTATTTGAAAAAGGTAGTTTAATATTAACGATTCAACAATTATCCATGATTTTAACCCGCTGAATTCTTTGAATATGATGAGTATTCTCACCTCTACAATTTCTGTAGTTAGATTGAAAAGCTCCGTCAGATCAAAGTTTCCTCTAAAATCAAAATCAGTATGGTTGATAATATCTGTGAATTCTATGTTTGGTGAGCTTCTCCCTATTGATTTCATAATAGCAATCATCTCTTCCATTGTGATACATCCTCCTGTGATGACAGAATCTCATGATGTTACATATTATCATAATTCTTTTTCCTATAATATTATGAATTATATTACAATGAGTATAAAAATTAGAATCTTGATTATCTTACTTAAAATCATCAGCATCAAAGGCAACATAAATCAGCTTCTAGAAAATCAGTGATGTGTAGTCATATCAATATTCATATGATGAAGAATCGTCTCATAGATAATGAGTGTTATAAATACAAATCCTATGACGATAGTTAAAAGTAATCCTAACATATCTAGTCAGTTCTTATGACCATTTTTCCAACCAACCTTGCATTTTTTGAATGAAGGTTATGTAAATATAATGAGTGACAATACTGGCTCAATAAGAACAGAAAAAGCACATTTCACATCTTCAAATTTCTCTCCTAACTACCTCAAAAATCTTTCCTAAAACAGCTCACGCACGTCGTGCATGTATTCGGTGTATACAGGAGGTGGAGAAGTCCGCCTCTGTTCGCGTAAGCCGGCCCCGTCATACAAGTTGGACCGGTCCAATGGACCAGTCTAACAAGTCCTTGGGGAAAGAATCCACCACCTGAAATCAAATCTAAGGATACAGGATTCAAAGCAACAAGGCAACAACCCAACATTTTATTAATCTCTCTAATCTCCCTTACAAGTATTGTCTACATGTATTTATAGACAATTATAGCAACTTATTAGGCTACACGAAACAGAAGAAAGCACTACTCCTATTCAACCATAAAAACTACCAAATGGAATTAATCTAGCCTTAAGTTAACATGATTTAAGCAGCTCAGCTCCGACATCATTCTACTGGGATAGGAGGAACTTAAGGCTCGTAGGAAGATGTCCGGTTGGCCACAATAAGGAGGCAAGTCTGGTTGGCTAAATCGGTCTAGATAGATCCACCCAGTGTCATTCTACCTGTCTAGGAGAGGCTTCAACATAAGCTAGAGTTAATGACAAATGGGATAGCTGACAAACTCCGAATGCGGCCTTATTAGACCCTTCAAATGACACTCTTCAAGAGTTTAATTGAACTCGACACCAAATGGATCAACCATGCAAATATCAGCATCCACAACGAGCGCCTTCATGAACATTGTATCGAAATGCGTAAAGGTACCAAGGAGGTTGCCTTTTTCTAGTTTGGTCAAATCAATTCCATCATCAATGATGGAAAGCACACTCATTTCCTTATCAGGAATGATATGCATGACTAACTCCACCTCGGCATCCTTCTTGCTCTTGTCAACATCATCATATGCAGGTTGCTCAAGATCAAGAACTCCAACGAACATGTCGTCATCATACACGTCATACACGGGCTCATCATAGATAGGCAAAGATGACTTTAACAACGGGTCTTCAAATCCTTCGAAGCTGGACTCGATCGACGGTGGGGTAGAAATTTAACGAGGTGACCCTTCAAACACATCGATCGAGTCCAAACCAGAAAAAGGCAACAATTTAGTTAAAATCATCTTTGTGGGTAGAACAGATCTTATCGTCTGAGATGCCCTCATCGTCGTCATTGTTTCATAACAATTTAGTTGGAACGAAAAATCTTGAAGCCGTCATGGTAGCATACTTGTCCCGTGGTCAAATGCCATCAAATTCCTAGGCAAGGGTGCCCAAGTCTTTCCTTCGTTGAAGCCTTGACAATTGTTGTTTGAGTCGGGCAATTTCTTGTCGAAGATCTTCAATTAGTGCTTCTTCTTGAATGGGTCACCATTGATTTAATTGAAGAGACATTTTAATGGGCTCTATCAGTTGTTGATTTACATACCAAGAACTATAAACTATTGTTCTTGGTGGAAGGAATAAGTGGCAACAGCTTCTTGAATATTTTGGGAGAAGAAGAGGTTCAACGGCAGTAGTAATCGATGGCAAAGACAAAGCTGGGGAAGGACCTTGATTCCTACACCATCAAAGGAACCAATAAGATCATGCACTTGACAATGGATGTCTTTGCAGTGAATGACTGTGTGTTGATGAGACCCTCGGACTCCGACAAACCACCGTACGTCATGCGAGTGGAGAAAATTGAGGCGGATCACCGTAACAAGGTGAAGGTCCGATGGTATTACTGATCGAAGGAGGCAATTGGTTGTTGATGGTAGTTCCATAGGGCCAAAGATATCTTTCTCTCCTATCACCATGACTTCCAGAACACTCACACTTTTGAAGGAAAATGTGTTGTTCACTCCTTCAAGAACTACACCAAGCTTAAAAATGTCGGAACAGAGGACTACTTATGCCGCTTTGATTCTGGTTCATAACAACACCTTGATGAAATATGGTTGTAGTTTTGCATTTCTTGGACGGATGTGAAAACAGAACATCAATATGACCAATTTGGGAGGCAGAAATTGTTGTTCTTGGTGGCTGACATCAACCATCTCGATGTTTGAATGAAGAACTGTAGCCAGCACGCTTCTTGTCGGCCTTGGTGAAAGATGAGCAGCGGCAGAACAAGAAGGTTGTTGGTTGTTGCAAAGGAGGATGCAGCGGCTGGTATAGGAGATAGAAAGTGACCACCACCTAGCTTTTTGTCCAGGATACAGAAAAAGAACAAGAACTTATCGGCTCTGATACCAAATGGCATCGGACAAGAGAGTCGACAACTCCTCATTGACGATCTGGTGATAGAGGCCAAGCATAACTCCAAGGACTCCTTGGGGAAAGAATCCATCACCTGAAATCAAATCTCAGGATACAGGATTCAAAACAACAAGGCAACACTGTCGTTGCCAGGTCTCAATTCCTGTATGAGAAAAGTGGAGGGTTGCGTTAGGTAGTCGACAGCCAGCGTAAAACTTGTCGAATAATCATAATAGGAATCCTTTAAAAAATTGTGTTAATGATAGAACGTCCCTTGGAAGCGACGCGCTGTATGACCTGAATACAGCGATAAATGTGCAACGGCTGCTACACCGACGCCCGAGTGCAGTGTTAAATAGACAAGAGTTCCCACATCAAGGAAAGATGTGAGCAAAGAAGCTAATCCGTGAAACTAAAATTAGGATAGGAACTTGGAATATAAGCTCCCTTACAAAAAAATTAATGGAATTAATATATATTATGTTTCATAGGAAGATAAATATTATGTGCATTCAGAAAGCTAAATGGGTTGAAGAGAAGGCTGAGGACATTGATAGTTTAAGATATAAACTATTGTATTCAGATAGGAGTCGTACAAGAAATGATATATGTATGATTATAAATAAGAGTTTGAAGGATAATGTTATAAAAATTAATAAAATTAGAGATAAAATTATAGCTTTAAAGATTGTTGTTGGTGCTAAGATTATTAATATTATAAATACTTATGCTCCTCAGGTAGGTTTAGATATGGGTTTAAAATTAACTTTTGGAATCATTTAGAAGAATTAATATAAATGATACCTCTTGAAGAAAGAGTTTTGTTGGAGGCGATTTAAATGGACATGTTGATAGGGAAGTTGATGATTTAAAAGCATTTATGGTGGCCATGGGTTTGGAATGTCTCGAGCCTCGTGAACTGTCGTCGTCGCCCTGACATAGCCGATACAGCTGACGACATTGTCGTCGACCCTTGCACAAATCTAAAATTTCAAACCCTATCCTTGATGTGCTCTAACGCTTGCAGCACGACGAGTACCTATGTGCACTTTTCTTTGCACGATGGGAGGAAACTCATCATAGTGTTTGCAACGAGGCAGGTAATCTTCGTACACATTTTTCTTGGCATGGCGGGGCAAAATTTAAGTACCCGTATGTGTCTCAGTGCTAACAAGGAAGCAATAATGTATTTCAAAAAGGTGACTCTTAAGACTCATGCATGCCTTTCTTAGTGTGGTGGGATTGAAGACTATGGTCACAGTGTCACATAATACCGACCATGCACGTCTTTCTTGACGTTGCGGGAAGGCTATGACTCCCCAAATTTCTCCCAAATGGGGGATATGATAGGATACTGCTGAAATTCAGACTAAAATACACAGAATCTGAACAACAAGATGACCTAACTTAACAACAATACAGAAAACCTGATTGCAATAGGGAACTGGAAACTAATTTGTAAAATGCACAATTAACTTAAAAATATAAATCCTAAGATACAATTCAAGTCACTCAAACAAATACAAATCAACAAATAGGGGACTTGCGACGAACAATACCTTCAATGAACATAAATGATGATATTTAATCAATTCCGAGAAATGTCAATTTGCTGCAAAGAGTATAAACGTCTCCTACATGCAACAATGAAAAACTTGATATGTAAGCAATAGTCAGCCTGTAGATCGAAATGGCGACACTGGCAATTGATGAAGGACGATCCGTCATGCACACAATAAGTCATACTAAATCAATAGTAGACAACAAGCAGTGAATGTTACATTACCCTGTAATTGACATCAATGTTTGGAATGCAATTGAAGTCGTTGAAGATGAGCATAATAAGCCACATGTGAATGATGATAATGGATATGATGCAAGTATAGTAATGCTCCCTACAAGCATGTCTAGAAGACAATAGTAGGCATATAAGTAGAAGGGCTTATAATATGACAATTCACATGTAGACAATAATCAATAATCCACTATGAACATCAACACCTAAGAACAACTGTAGGAGACCTATCATGCAGTAGTCCATTATGGATGATGACAAGAAACATGCAGCAGATCTTAAATCATCCATGTTACAAACATGTTTTTGGATTATGATTTTGATGATAGCAAACAAATCTTGTTTCACTACGACTGCCTTTTTTCTACTGACTTTTTAGGACTCAAAGATTGGACGGAAATCGGAATCAGCTCAAGACTTGGTAGATTAGAATTGAGTCGGTCTGTATTTTTCTTTTTTCTTTCTTGAGTCAATTGTAATTATTTGAAGTGATTGATGTTAAGTAACCCTACACACACACTTGAGAGATTTAGAACTTATGTTTTTACTCACATCGTCCCGGATGATATTTATATCGTCCAGGACGATCGAGCTCAAAACAGAAGA